CCCGGAGGCTGTTCGGGGCCTGGCCGAGACCCTGCATAGAAGGATGACGACATCAAGCAAACAGACAAACAAACAAACATTGAAAATTTTTCAACAGCTACGGGACTAGCTGTCAATAGAGGGGGGGGTAGTGTAACGGTTCGAGTACACACTGAACTAACATCCGAAAGGGATCCGAACATGGGCACGCACTAGCCGAGGGCAGATCTGCTGATATAAAACCCCACCTTCTCCATACCGTAGCTCGATAGATTTTTGATATCCTTTCGTACAAGGCCTATAGGTGTCTATTCGAATTAAGGCTCGTTTGATGTCCCACGCACTCCCATATGCCTCTGAGTGACACTACCGCCGATACTGATCCGAGTAGTCTTGCCTGCGCCGTTACAATAATTAAGAGAAAAGGAGTTAAAAGAATAATTAGCCTATAACCAGCCTAGGTTAGTTAAGAGTCTAAATAGTAATAGTCTAGTTAATAGAAGGTCTATACTAGGGGTAGAACCCCTCTTAGTTTTCTCTTTCGCATAATCTTAAAACCTAAGAATAGCGAGATCGCGACAAGCGAAAGAACGCTTATAAGATTTTACCTCTAGAAGTTTATAACAAAGTCGCGCGGCAGCCTCTTTAGCACGAGTAACCTTAAGTTCCTTTTACTTACGCTCTTCTCGAACCTTCTCCTACTCTTTCTTAGAAATAAATAAACTACACTTATGTTACAAGTAACAAGAAGGATTCTCTCCTTAACAAATGACGAGATGGCTGAAGGCCTATGGACGTTCACGTCAGAAGGTAATGATCATCGCGGGGCTAGGTCACGTGATGTGCCATCCCGCCAAGGGCAACCATCCGAGGGATGGCAGGACGCCTTGGGATGGCAGCCATCCCCAACATCACAACCATCCCAGGGATGGCAGGGAAGTAAGGGATGGTAGGACTAAAGGCAACGGATATAAGAATGGGTTGGATTTCATTATTACATTCGTTGTGGTCAACTCAAATTGTACTTTCTTACTAGTATCTTTACTTAACAAGATTGTTACAAGTTAGTCTATCAAATAGATTAGTCTTGTCAAACCCTCCTTAAGCACGCCAACTCCACTGCATCGCCAGACAAGCCTCACGGAACACTAACGTAATACTCACCTGCCTTAGTGCGGACCAGGATAGAGAAGTATAGACCCTTACCCCGTGTAACAACTTAGCTTTTACGGAAATATAACTAGCGTAATAGCTAGTTATAGTATCTACGAAACAACGAAGGTTCTTCTCCTTACAGCGAGTATAGCAATAAGAGATTATTTTATTCCTCTGCTCTATCACACAATCAGCACAAGAATAACGCTCTTCATTCAACTTTTAAGCGCGAACACGGGTACGAGAAGACAGAACCTTAGGCATAGTTAGGAAGGCTAGAGCGAGAAAAGAACAGTTACAATAGCCTAGGGCCTACTAACCTTATATACAGCTAGCGTCTTAATACACAGCATAGATAAATAATATTCTAGAGTATTAAGACGATAGCCCTAAGAGAGGAGGTAATGTTATAAGTAATAAGAAGGATTCTCTCCCTAATAAATAACAAGATAGCTAAAGGCCTACGAACGTCCACGTCGGAAGGTAATAGGGTATTACGGGGCTTAAGGTCACGTAATATGCTATCCCGCCAAGGCTAGCTATCCAGGATAGCAGTGCAGGAAGGGATAGCGGTGCCATCACAACCATCCCGCCCAGATAGGATAGATAGGATGGCAGAACTAGAAACAATAAGGATATAAGGATAGATGGATTTTATTATTTACTCTCGTTGTGGTCAACTTAAATTATACTTTCTTACTAGTATCTTTACTTAACAAGATTGTTACAAGTTAGTCTATTAAATAGATTAGTCTTGTCAAACCCTCCTTAAGCACGCCAACTCCACTGCATCGCCAGACAAGCCTCACGGAACACTAACGTAATACTCGCCTGCCTTAGTGCGGACCAGGATAGAGAAGTATAGACCCATACCCCGTGTAACACCGTGAGCCCGCACCGTGACAAGCAGCCCTCATAGTTTTTTATGCATAATAACGCGTATATATATACTACTTATAGTATAGGTAGCTTTTTTACTACTTACTAGATTATACTACTTACCTAGCTAGCTTATTTACTAGAATATAACCCTATTAAGTACCTCTAGTACATTCTTAAATAAAATACATATATACTACTTCTACCTATAATACTATAATTATACATAGTAAAACTTAGAAATAGTTAGATAGGTTTATAAGGTAACAAAAGAGTGCTAGTGGAGGTGTCAGATTGTGATGGGTTATCAAAGATCGGAGTAAACTGTGATCGATTCTTGATTCAGTTGATTGATGTGATGTGATGTGATGTGATCTGAGTTGTTGTTCTTGATCTGATCCGCGCTGATCCGCGCTGATCCCCTGAGTATGATCGCGGTGGATCGTGCGTGCTCACTAATCCAACTGATCCACAGAGTCCGAGTGCTCTGATTCGCACCCGGATTTCGTCCACCACCCAATATATACCCATATTCTGACAGGAGGATACCTAGTAACTAAATTAAGGCACTAATTAAGTCAATACCGCGCCGCCTCCGCGCCTGCCGCGAGGCACGAGGCTAGTAAACTAAATACTAGTATATAAGAATTAGTTCCATTTTTTGGCTTCGAAAAAATGCAGTTTTAGTGGAGATATTGGTGGTAGAAGCACTGGCGTCAACTTTTGTTGATGGACTGATTTCGGTTAGCGAGGTGAAACTTTTTGCCTAGTACTGTAGATTAATCCAACTTATATTGCTCGTTTTGAATCGTATATCAGGAGTATCGAAACTGTTAGTTATGTCACCTATTAGTAACACATTAATATCAGCGTTATACACTTATACCTTCGCGTATCCCCTTCTGTAAATCTCTCTTATCGATAAGAGACAGTTCCGTAGATATTTCTTACCTGTTCCAAAGTCCTTGAAAGTGGGAAACTTGCGAAGATACTATGTGCACTAGATTACAGGCCATGCAGACAATACTGCAAATATTAGATCAGCAATGCCTACAGTTTGTAGCAGTTGTAATGCTTTTGTCATTGTTGGTGGATCCATGCTGACGAGATTGGGCCGTGCGGACAAAGAAGTGCGTTAGGTGTTGAGGTTTTTCGGGACGTGTCGAAATGTAAAACTCAACTTAAGATACTTTACTTGTGCTGGCGTTAGAGAAATCGGCTCTAATAACAGGAGGACCTCTTGCTGAAGAAGAATTGTATCACATCATCGCCAACCTTTATTATATATGTAGCAATCTGCCCCGCCCACGGGCAGTTCATTCATTAGTGAGTCTTCTGAGCGAATTCTTATACATCCTTGTATACCATGCGGCCTACATATTGGTATTATCGGAGATATTCCCTTCAGTAGACTTGGGAGATTGGGACCATGGCGTTGATGTCTCGGGTTAAGGTGATACCGGTTTAATCCATCTAAACTGGTAGATCATATTACATAAACCCCTGCCTGGGCAGGTACACCATCCTTAAAGAAAATATGATATAGCTGAAGATAGCATAGTGTGTTTAGTTTTTCACTCTTTTTGTGGAGATGATGTGGGTAAGGGGGTTTGCTTTGAAGCTACGCACATGCTAAGATGACACTTAATAGAGTATAGACCCGGCAGTAGCCTCTGTTAACTTACGGATCGTGCCCGTTCCGCTTCCCGTTCCACTTGACGTCACCGGTCAGCTCATCGGTCAGCTGGGCTGTAAGTGATAAAATGCCTGTTCTAACCTACAGCAGCCGTTCACTTTCTTCAAGCTACGACCTTCTTTTCAAAACGTTATGAGAAATTCTCAAGATCTCTACTCCAAATATCCCAAACCTCACTAAACGGACACTTGCTGCCCATTATGGACCCGGATTACAACTTTGAGAATGCTGAACCTGAAGCTATCGCGCTTTGTGAAGGATCAGAAGCAGTACTGAGGAATTCAGAGTCTACCAGACGAAACTGAGAACATATGAAGATGCAGCGCAAGTATATAGCAAGCGCCGAAAATACGATGTAGAGGCTTCGATCTGAACTACAAGAAATCTAATATTCACTGGTCGAACATGAAAAAGATCGCAAAACAAAGAAGGTTGTGAGAAGAGCTCAGGACAGAGCCAAAATTTTAGAAGAAAATGAGACAATAACTCCCAAGATAGCCGAGAAAAGCAGGGAACTAGAGAATCTTCAACAAAACCATACGAGAGACGCGAGCCTTATACATGCGGCAACATTTGATGCTCAGATCAAAAGAACGAAAGAAGCACTGTAAGTGTCTCTTGTTTGAGCGTTCCAAGTACTAGTTATTCAAGTAACCTGCTAACGACATGTATTTTTAGAGAGGCCTTGTAAAGTGCGGTAAAGTAGCGATTAGTCATGTGACAGTGTCATGATTGTCGCTAGCCGAGAGATCAGCGAATGATGCGACCATCCCCAGAAGGAAGTGACAGAGATTGAGGCTTTTGTAATGAGTTTCCTTTGTTTCTTTGTAGTCAATTTACCTTAGCTTTTCGCTAAAGACACGACATACAGTCTATGGAATACAAGCCCTTATTATACGAGCGATATCTTGTTACAATCCCATTAGATGGAGGTAGCGTCACGCGAAAGAACTAGTCACAGTGAGCTAGTGGTATAGAATAAATTGATCTAGAGAATAATGGGCGTGAAGGATTGCGTCAGCCACCACGTGACTATTCTCTAATCAATACTAGCCTCTTACTAAAATAACGACGCACGGCTGGGACAATGTGTTCTCCCGCTAAGAACCCTATACTCTAGGTCGGTGGGACGACAGAAGACGGAGAGAACGATTTGTACATAGTCTGGGACACTCGCTGTACTTTCCTACTCTTGCAGTCAACTTCACTATCTAAAATGTAAGCGCTTCGTCTTTTTACGAATAACCAGTCTTGTCGCAGATACCTCAGCACTTATAGCACAGATAGGGCAACAATTAGAAACTTGTTCAGCCATGCAGGATTGAGAGTATATTGCGACCATCCAATGAGAGAGTTTTCAGGCTATGCAAGAAACAATCTTGTTATAGGTGCCGGTCGTGCACGCAGACATGGTTGTATGCCCGGATCCTGATTCCCCATTATTGCTTCATTTGACCATTTCCGTGACGTATTGCAATGTACAGTGTTTGGGAACGTGTACCACCACCTGAAGAAGGTCCAGAAGCATTGTCGCCAGGATTATGGTCGGCAGGGCAAGAGGTGGACCAGAGGTCGCCCAGCCAGCATGAAAACGATGTGGACAACCAACGTGTCATGCCAAAATTCTAAATCTTAGTTCTAAAATTTCTATATTAGAGCGCTAGTCTAAAGCCATTGCACGACGCGCTGTCATCGCTCACCTGCGTTAGTACGGACTAGGACTAGAGAAATATTGTAGCCCCACGTGGAACAACCTGACCATGCATAGGATAGTTTCATAGCTTTCTGCGCTTCGTCATGTTTTCGATAGCCGCAACACATGGGATGCGTGGGTATCGCCGCTTTGCTAGCGCCAGCCTATCTTATTTAGCAGCAACTAGTGGTGCGATTTAGTAATAACGCCGCAAGTTAGGACGTGCATAAGATTCAAGAATCTTCCTACGCGGCTAAGGTAAACCAAATCTATACCGCGCGTGGTCTTAGTTATAACTTCCGGCGCGATTCAGTAATAACAATGGAAGCTAGGGTATCCATGAATGCCAAGGTAGATTAATCTTACACTATAGATATCGAAATAAGCACTAGGCAGACTCATCACTAAGCTAGGTCTTGGAGTATCACCCTCTGGTCCGTGACAGCTCATATCTGGTAATCACTCTGCCTACTGCTTACTTGTTAGGAATTCTGCTCATTACCGAGTAGTCGCACCAAGCAACACCACGAGAGAGTAGTTTTGGGATAGCTGCATGGCATTGTCTGTTGTGCAGAATCTCTGAATATAAAAGTATCATCCATACCTTCAAGAGTGTTGGCATAGTGTTCCAGAGACTACATAATCACACCCCATCCCTAGATCGATACCCTCTTTAACCCGATTTCCATTGTCGTTCATTATTATCTAGTACCATCATGCACTTTACTACAATTTTGTCTACCTTTGTAGCAGCTTCAGGCGTCCTAGCAGCCCCCACGTCGCTTGAACTCGATGCTCGCGCTGTAGTCAATCATGACTCCCTCAACCCAATCCGGACTCGTTTGCAATTAGGAGCGATTGGCCGAGCCATCGAAAGGTTCCAGCCTCTGCTGCACATCGCCCACGGTTGCCAGCCATACACTGCCGTTGACGATAATGGTAATACTAGGTAAGCTCAAGAGATGATGTACCTAAAAGTTCAAGCGCTCACACATCTCGATTACAGTGGAGGTCTCCAGGACACTGGCAGTGTCGATGGTGGATGCCGCGACCCGAACAAGGGCCAAACCTATGCCCGAGCTGCCTGGCACAGAGGCAAGTTTGCTATCATGTATGCATGGTACTGGCCCAAGGACCAGCCTATCGCTGGGAATGTTGCAGGCGGACACCGCCACGACTGGGAGAGCGTCGTCGTCTGGCTCGACAACCCGGCAAACGCCAACCCCCGAATTCTCGGTGCTGCCGCATCAGCTCATGGCAATTACCAGAGAAATACGAGTCCACCTCTTCAGGGCAACAATGTCAAAGTGGAATACTTTACTAGATTCCCCTTGAATCACGCTCTGCAGTTTACGAACACGCCTGGCCGTACTTATTGGATCAGCGACTGGGATGCTATGCCCCAGGCTTCGCGCGCAGCTCTTACACCTGGTGGTCTCTTTGGATCTGCGAACGTGCCTTTCAGGCACGATAGCTTTTTTAGCAACCTAGACAAAGCCTTCGTCTAAAGTTTAGTATCACATAGAAGTTAATGCTTACATTTCTCCAAACTTCATCTCGACCAGAGTAAGAGTGTGTTAGTATAGGTGCTATATGTAGTTCTCTATTAATCTCAAAAAACGACGTTCTAGAAGATTCCAGTACAGCTACTCGTCAAAAGTCTGGCCTCCCTAAGCTCCCCTGCTCCACCAACACCAACTTTGCCCCATTCTTTGAATGCCCACCACTAACGCTACACTACGCCAATTTGGCCAAGCGGTATCTCAAAATGTGCGCCGTCGCCGAAATATGACAACTGCTGAGCGTAATATTGCGGCCGGGATGTTGCGAGGCGGCGCAAGCTTTAGAGAGATAGGTAAGGTTTTTAGGCATAACCTCTCCACGATTAGAAAACTATATAAAAAATTTCACCATACTAGTACTATAGATAATAAGCCTCGCTCTAGCTGTCTAAAGATAATATCACCCTATTAGATAAAGATTATCTATCGGCTGGCACGAAAATTACTAAAGATACTATATAAAAACCTTACTTAAGAGGCAGTATTTATAAACACTAATAGAACCCCTTTAAAGCTCCCTAGCTACTCTATATTATACTAAGTCCTTAAAGGACGCAATCTTAGTAAATACTGCTGTAAAAAGCGTCTAATATTAAAGCTCTAGCATGCTCGTCGACGCTATAGATTCTTATGTTAATACTAGAGCTTTCCTTAGCACTAGCGCACGGTTAAGTTCTTAGATAAGTGCTTAGTTTAGAAGGGATCTGGTGCTATATAGGAGTAGTGTTTTTGGTATCTAGAAGAGAAATAGAAGCGTAGAATAATTATAGAGGTTTTGCTCAGCCAGGGCCTATAGTAGATAGTGTGGGGGGCTATATAGGTGGATGAACGCGGCCGGGGGCGACGCAGTCCTCTTATAATTATAGAAAGGGATCTAGATACTCCCTATAGTAGGTACAGTGGCCAAAGTTATATCTAAACCCTTAAATAAGGTCTTCTACCTCACTGGCGGCCCTCGCAGATTTTTATGCATAATAACGCGCGTATACACACCTCCTGTAGAGTGCGCGAGTTCCTTACCTCCTATTAGATTACACTACTTAGCTGGCTAGCTTATTTACTAGACCTTAACCCTATTAAGCATCTCTGGTAGGTCCTTAAACGAAATATGGATCGCTTTTATCTATAATACTACAATTATAGCAAAACCTAGGAATAGTAGGATAGTTTTTGTAAGGCACTAAAAGAGTGCTGGAGAAGGATACCTAGCAGCCAAATACAGGCACTGATTAAGTCAATGCCGCAACGCCTCCGCGCCTGCCGCGAGGCACGAGGCTGGCAAGCTAAATACTAGTATAGAAGAATTAATTCTATTTTTCAAATTTTAAAAATATGCAGTTTTGGTGGAGGTATTGGTGATAGCAGCACGGGCGTCAACTTTTGATGATGGTGGGGTTTCGGTTAGCGAGGCCAGACTTTTGAATAAATACTGTAGATTATTAATAATCATTGATGTTTTCCCATCAAGATTTCACGTAAAAGATTATAAAAAGATTCATGATATAATTCTAACAGTTTTCAGGTATCTACTGCTATTGCGAGTACTGGGTCAAGAAGGATGTCTGAGTACTCATTTGCTGCGGGGAAAGGCACATATGTATTGATGTGGGAGAATTACGGCGGTAGGAAGCGGATGGGGCGCTTTTAGGTCTACAGATCGTCAACATGAAGTTACTGCCAACAACAATCGCCTCTTCTCACAGTATCTTGAGCCAGTTTTCATACGCTACCTAACAATTAACCCGTTCTTCTACGCACAATACGTAGAGCGTATCTTTATAGATACTGAAAATTCCTAAGGCCTAGCCACTAAAATTGCCGCGCTCTATAACATGTCACCCGTTGAGTTTATAAGTGTACTTATGGGGTATTTTATTAAGGATGCATTATATACACTTTAGTATCTACTCTAGTACTTGGTAAATTTAGTAAAGATATACAGCGTCCTAAATGTGATAAACCTGCTCTTCAAACGCTACTCCTAAACAGTCTTCACTATTATCGCTTAGACAAAAGTCTATAGAACTCCCTGCGCTGTACACCTACGCACCGACGCTGAGGTGAAGCCAGATTCCCTCCCCTCCCCTTTCTCCCCTAAAGCGATTTACATGGATGTTTTTGAGCTAGTCTAGAATCACCCTAACCTTCACGCCCCGCCGGATCTCCTAATGCTAGGTAAGGTATAGAAGCGAACAATTAATAGAAACCGCGGCGTCCTCGGCCACAGCGCTATAGCCGATTTCATTATCAAAGACAAGGGCTCTGCCAACGACTAGATTTTAGAGTAGTGTAAGTCTGCTGCATCCTTACAATGGTACCGAGTGAAGCTAATAATGTTGTGTAGCGCTTCTTAGCAAGCATCGCTTCCATCCCAAATGCAGCATATCAAAAGAATTGTAGGCGACTTTCTGGTGGGTTCTCGGGGTGACCTTTCATTGACCAAAGAGGTAACAGTCCGCAGAGGATTTGGCTGTGTCTCAAAACCCATGTTCGTAGAAAATGGAATTAGACCAGGGCGCGTGCTTTTACGGATACTTGAGACTCTGATCGCTGCTTCAGCACTAGAACATATGATTAGAACATAAAGTTTTCCATCAAACTGACCAAGAATTGCACAGCTATGTATTCTTGGGTATGAGGTGTTCTCTTGCTATGCACTCATTGCGTATCTACATATTAAGCCGTAACTTCGTTGTCAGCCCAGATGCGCTAATAGTATTGAACGGGAGGCGCTTAAAATTCTTGATATTGTCGACAAGGACTTAAGTACGTCGGCCAGTCGCTAAGGGTCGTTCGCACGGCGGCCTGGGTGGAGAGATGTTACCAAAGGTAGTGTTGTATTACTAATACGAAGAAGCGCGTCTTCACGATGGCATAGAGCAAAAACGGTAAGATCTACCTTCGCCCTACTGTTACGTCCTCATCATTCACTAACACTGCACCTGACCAACTGTTGTGAACCAAAGACAGCAGTTACAATCACGACCATGCCGACAGAGACCAAGGCCGCTCACCAAAGTCCCATCTCACAGGCTCCTGACCCATGTAGAATACAAGCTTGCCTCCATGCGCAATTTCTTCATGCTTCAGCCAAGCTCAGTCGAGCTCTTCCCCGTTCCAAGTGACTCTTTGCGGGTAATAACTCGTGCTTGACATGTCGCGCGCCATCACAGTCAACGAAGTCTCTACTGACGTTCCGCTGAAGAGCGAGATATTCAGCGACGAAAAGCGGGGGCAGAGAGTAGATAGAGCGGTTGGCCAGCCACGGGGTACATCCCGACAAGATTGAAGATCAGCCAGCTGGGTAGCGCACCGCCGTCGATGTTTCCTAGGGGGTACCCGTTTGCTAGCCTACTTCTTCGTAAAGGGCGCGCTGTTTAGTCGCTCGGGCTGTTACGCACGGTGTAGCTGTCCCCTCTTAAAGCCGTCCACTCCTAAAGCCGTCCCCTCTTAAAGCCGTCCCTTCCTAAAACCGACCTTGCCAAGGATCTTTTCACCTGGAATTGCTGCGCACGGATCCCTCTATTTATACTAGCTTGACGATCACTCTGCATGCCTTTAACTTCCTTCGACAAAATTGAGAGAGAAAGATAAGTGAACTGGTGGAGATGTCATAATTAGCATCTAGACAATGCTTGGACCAACTGCTGCCGCTTCGCACCTCAGGTTATGCGAGAATTTTCGACCGGAAGCATGAGAGGGGCTGTACAGTTACCGACACAAGGCCGGAGCCTCGATCAATCCTGCGTACTAGTCCACTTCACGCGTATATTATGTTGACTATAAGAGAGACGCATTGCACTTTGTGTGTAACATCCAGTTTGAAATTAGCATTTCATATTCCAGATTCATATTCTAGACAAAAGCCAAACAAACAATTCCTAACAAAGTCATTTGCAACAGACAACAATGAGCTCAGCTATCGACTTCGTGCTACAGGAGGCAGTGCGCAGCGGAAGATTCCTCGGTTTGAGCTGCATTGCAATCGACAAAGCTGGTTTGCACCCCACCACCCCCTTACAAAGCCATATTGGTAGCTAATTACAGTTTCTTAGGAAACACGATTTATTCTGGCGCCCATGGACGACGTTCATTCAATTCAGATGAGCCAATGACCATCTCAACCTCTGGGTGGTTAGCGTCTACAACTAAGTTAATGACGGCCGTTGCTGCGTTACGCCTGGTTCAAGAAAACTTAGTTGGCCTAGATGCTGATGTAGCCGACATTCTTCCAGAGCTTCGGGAAAAGGAAATTCTGATATCATACGATAGTACAACCAAAAATGCGACATTTGTACCCCGCAAAAAAAAGATTACACTAAGGTATTTACAAAGCTTGATGCATCTATGTATGCAAACGTCGCGCTTATATTATTCTATAGGCGCTTGTTATCACATTCCGCTGGATTTACCTATCCTTTTATAACTCCAATGGTTGCGAACTGGAGCATTGACAATGGTCTATCGGCAACAATTGACCATTTTACAGGCGATTTTGTTAGTGGTCGTTGAAGCATGCGGGGAATGATCAACTGCTGACTCAATAACCCAGAAAGCTGATTGGGATCGTCCAATGATCTTTGAACCTGGAAATAACTGGAGCTACGGCCCGAGCATCGATTGGGCAGGAAAAGTGGTTGAAAAAGTAAGTGGCAAATCGTTGGAAGACTACTTCAACGACGTGATCTGGACGCCGCTTGGAATGAAGAACACAACCTTTCATCCTGAGAAGTATGAACAATATCCTTTGCTGGAAATGGGACAGCGTGAAAATGGGCCTGGCAGCAAGCTCGTTCCTGACAGCCGTAACTATGCTATCCCAGCTGTCAACGAAGCGGGAGGGGGGGGGCTTATTCTCTAACGCGGAAGATTACGCAAAGTTCTTAGCTGCTCTGCTTGGCGACAATGGTACCCTACTAAGGAAAGGTATGATTGAAGAGCTTGAGAAGCCACAGTTAAACGAGGAGGGCAAAGCTGCGCTGGAGGAGATGCGTAACCTATGGCTAATGCCCGAGTTGCCTAGGGAGGTCACAGTTGACCATGCCCTGGGAGGACTTGTAACGACAAGCAATTTTCTGGGCGGCCGCGCAGCTGGTGCCATGGCTTGGGACGGAATCAGCAACCCAAACTGGGTGAGTTATCCAGCCAATCTGTAATACCGAGATTCTGCAACTGTCATACTAACAATCTCTGCGTTTTAGCTCATCGATCGTGTGAATGGAGTTGCGATGATTTTCTTCACTCAGGTCTGGGCTACTGATCCAGACACCAAAGGATTGTGGAGCAAATTAGAAAAGGAGCTGTACGCCTGTCTTGGCAAATAAAAACGAGTCAGACCATCGCTATTTTGGTTTTTGGAGGTGTAGGGTCCCTGAAATTCGCTTACATCAATGCAAACTTTTCTCGTTGTGGGTTAGTGCTAGAAAGAAACTACTCTACTGATTGCAGTCTATCTCACGAGCATACATGGGCAAATCGTTTTTTGGAAAACAGGTTAAGCAGCCGTTAGAGTACCGAACTCCATTTCTACCAATCGGAGAAAGTCTTATTACTGACAGCCTCTGATTGATTGGTTGGTTGAAAACGGCTTTGGTACGTTAACTTCTGCTTACCCTGTTTTCCAAAAAAAAGATTTGCCCATGTATGCTCACAAGAAGATACTTGAGGGCTGGCGGAAGCTGCTTAAACTGAAACTCGCGTCGTCGGACGACGAGTACCCCTCGACTGATCTCAATATCGCTCGTGTACGGGCCAAGTATTATGGCGGCTTGTACATTCTGTTGCGACCCTACATCAAACTTGCGAGCCACACGCTCGAGTTCCCACCTCCGCCTCCTACAGTTATGTTTCATAACTCTGGCCTCGCTAAGCTTATCCACGCCCAACACCAACCCCACCCACCTTTTTGAATGCCCACCACCAACGCTACACCGCGCCGATTTGGCCAAGCGATATCTTAAGATGTGCGCCGTCGTCGAAATATAACAACTATAGAGCGTATTATCGCGATTAGGATGTTATAAAGCGTCGTAAGCTTTAAAGAGATAGGTAAGGCTTTTCACTGTAACCCCTCCGCAATCAGAAAACTAGGGAAAAAATCTAACTATAACTATAGGTACTACTAACAATAAACCTTATTCTATCCGCCTAAGTATGCTTTCATATTATTAGATAAAGATGATTTATTAGCTAGCACGAAAATCGCTAAAATTACTATATAAAATGTTAGAGATCTAAGCTACTCAGCTTATCTCTAATAGAATTCGATCAATCGATTACTAGAAGCTATTACGCTACTACCGATAAATATCTATCTATTACGTCTATAGCCACGTAATCTACTACTAGATAGATTCTTCTAGAATCTAGTACAGCTAGTATATATAGTAGTAGAATAGCCAGTAGATAGAAACCAGAGTAGATTGCTAGAGAAGACAACAAGAACAGATCGGATCGATCCAATTCTTCAATCTCTCTCCCCTAGCATTATTACTTTTCTATCTAGAACCTATCGATTCGCTACCTCTGAGTCTATCGCTAGACAAGTAGACAATTCTACCTCTGAGCTAGCTATAGAACAAGTAACACCCTCCTTATTCTAACACTAGGCTCTTGCGCGCTGTAGTAGGTGCAGGGAGACTGGTCATAATTCACGTACATGCAAGAAAGATACTTTAGATAGTATTTAATCTACTATCTTAATATACAATAAAATAATCTGTTGCAACTAAGCAGCTGTTGAAAGCATGAACTTTGTTAATAATACCATTTACCGATTGACCGTAGATTGATCTATAGTCTCTATATAAGCAGATGAGACGACACAAATGATAATGAATCAATCCTCTTCACAATTTCCTTCACGCACGAACGAGTGCGACATAATCAATTCGTGATAGAGCTATGCGCTTATAGAGGTGGATAAGTTTTGTGGGGTGCGGCGCTTGCACGTGGAACACGTTAATAAATACGCTATTTGCGCAACTACGACACTTTACGTAAGGTAGATAATCTTAACTCTCCTTTCTTTCCTTTTCTGCAAGGTCGATGTCCTGGAGCGATTTGTGCATTGAAGTAAGAGTAGGTGTTGGTATAGTTCTAGTGCCTTCAATCCTTTCGGGAGCGACCTTGACAACGTAGCTCTTTGGCTGGTCATCAACCAGCAAACGCAACATGTCCGGACGGGAGTAATGACCAACTGGATCAGCAATGGCTTTTGCATACTCAATCTGATCGAGATCGATATCGCAGTAGATTAGCCCATCGAAGTGCTCATCCGTTGGCTCAGTCAGCTGTCGACCATCAGGATGAAAGACCGCGGCCCGCCCTCCGCCTCCAGCGAGCATGAAGCTGTCCTTCGCATTTGCCTGACCGGCACTGTTCAGCTTCATGCCTTCGGCAGAGAGCGGTTGGTTGGTGACGAGCGTGTACACTTGACCTTCCAGCGAGTATGCACGACTCATCGTAAGCTCGTTCGCCTCGCTGCAGACAGACCAAGGTTCTACGCCAACGTGCTTTCCATTGAACGGCCAAGCCGCGATATGAACCTGCTCCCCTTGGGCCCAGGTGTTGTACTTGAGCAGTGGTTGAAGATGCTCCCAACAGTTCAACATGCCAATCTTGCCGAGAGGTGTATCTGTGACATTGTTAAGCGAATCACCTGTCGAGTCACCGAATAGTGTCCTTTCGACGTGCGTAGGTTTAATCTTGCGGCGATGGTTGAGAATGTCGCCGTTTGGACCGATCAACATCTGTGCGAGGTACAAGGTGCCGGCGACCCTTTCACTGAAGCCAAAAACAACATAGATGTTATGTTCATTGGCGCCACGACGGATCTTCAAAATCTCGGACCCCTCAGCCTCAATGCTGTTCATGCGATATTTGAAAACAAGTGGGATATTTTCGTGGTAGTTGCCACCCCAGAGAAAGTTGGGATAGCCCGGCAACCAAACCTCGGAAAAGGCAATCAGAGACGCACCGTTCTCAGCAGCTTCTTTGATGAGGCGGAGCGACTTTTCGATACCTGCGTTCTTGTCGAACCAGCAAGGCTCAGCCTGACAGACTGCAGCTTTCCATTGTCGTATCGACATCTTTGGGCCGGGAATGAGCGGGTTGCTGTAAAATAGGCGGGAGCAAGTAGCGTGGGTTGATGTATGCTCTGGTGGCGTGTATAATGAATCGGTAGTCTTTGATGGTTGTATCTCTCAATCAAACATCTTCGACTTTATATTTTAGTCACAATAGACGGCTTAAAAGTTGTGCCCCGCAATGAGAGTCGCGGAGATATGTGAGAATCGCCAATCCGGATAAGTAGTTTCCACGCCCTAGTAAGCAGGGTAACTAGTATCCAACCCCCAGTAAGCTACCCCGCAACCCTTAAGGGAAGTTCCAAATCGTTGGCATATCTGAATAACTTGGAGCATGATTAGAGATTGCGGACCTACACGTTGCTTACGAATTTCAATCATGTTACTGCTTTTCTGGATAAGTTCCCAAGGCACAAGGTTCCGTGCGTAAGAAGTGACTAGTCTTTCTAGATCAAAATCAGCAAGTCCACGAGATCTTTATTAGGTTGAGCTTTGACTGAAGTCTTTTGAAGTTCAGTGGATTCGGCTGAAAGATTCACACACCACTACCTTCAGAAACTCCGATTTTCAATAGCATTCGCGCGCAACAACATCTGCGAAATGACTAAGTCTCAATAGTCGCTCTACAACGTTCTAGTACGATCCACCTACCTTGTTTTGATTTTGACTTACTCGTCGCCTTGATAGGTTGGGATATTCGTCACACTAGGTAGCGTTACATATGGTTACAGCTCTTCCATAATCGCCACTACTCTTGGCCAACCCAGCTTCATCCGGTATTTCAACCTTCAGAGCAGTAGCCGTAGTGCTACTATCATAGGCGCTATCAATGGCGTATATCAAGCCGGCGGTATTTTTGGCACGTTGTCTACCACACTGCTCACGGACCGCTTAGGCAGACGCAAGGCAATCTTTTATGGTGCGCTTTGCGTCGTCGTAGGTGGCACGCTACAGGCTGGATCTGTACAAATTGTTATGTTCCTAGTCGCACGGCTTCTGACGGGTATCGGAATTGGTAAGCTGCAAATTGCATCTTGAGACTGCGATACCGAAATCGCTGACTGGGTTCTTAAACGAAATCTTGTTACCATAGTGCCTCTCTGGCAGGGAGAGGTGGCCCCTCCGGCAACAAGAGGTTTCCTTGTCGGTCTACATGGTGGATCTATAGGACTGTGCTGCTCCGATTTCTGCTCACACAGGCAGGCGTCTTCATCCTATGTGGTTACACCTTTGCGAGCTGGATGGGAGTCGCGTTCTACTTTGTACGAGCCGCAGGTGCACAGTGGAGGATTCCTCTGGCGTTGCAGATCTTTGCGCCGCTCATCCTCCTCTGTGGTGTAATGGCCGTGCCAGAATCGCCGCGTTGTTGTGAGTCAAGCTTAATATAGATGCATCACATGTACTGATATTACCCATAGCGGTGCAGCAAGGCCAAGATGATAGAGCTTTGGCAGTCTTACTTCAGTTGCACGAATCTGGAGATCAGTAGTATAACTTGTCCTATGCGCAGCGTGAATTCGATGAGATAAAGGGACAACTCGAACTTAACAAGGTGTCACCAACCTCTTGGGCGTCCATATTTTCAGTGCCGTCTTACCGAAAACGAGCATTCATAGGCTTCGCAACCATGTTTCTGGCGCAGTGTACAGGAACACATCATCAACAGTGAGTTAAAAGTTACATGTGACATGTATCGTTAACAGATCCTGATTGTCCCTCAAGATTATGGACCAAGCCTGTACGCGTCTATGGGTTTCGACTCCAAAGATCAACTTTTGATCACGGCTGGTTGGATATCTGTTGGAGTCGTTGCCAATTACGGCAATGCATTACTGCTTGATCGCGTTGGTCGCGTCAGGCTGCTGGGTCAGTTGCACGAGCTTATCCCTTGATGACTCGGAAATAACTCAAGTGCTAGTTGTCGGCTTGGTTGGATGCGCTGTTGCCCTGCTCCTTGAAGCAGTGACGTTGGCAAAGTATCAAGGCTCGGATAATCGAGGCGGCATCGGCGCGGCTGTTTTCTTCCTCTTTTTGCACATCATTTTGTAAGTATCACTCTGATGTGACATAGTCTCAAATACGATTGCTAAAGTTAGAGTGAAATAGTTATGGTACTTGCGTAGACGCAACAACCTATGTCTACGCTGCCGAAATCTGGCCGACGCACATTCGCTCCAAAGACAGCGCCCTGACGACAACGGGGTTATTCACATCTTCGCTCATCCTCCAAATAGTTTCGCCGCCTGCCTTTGAAGTCATTGAATAGAGATACTACATGGTATTCGTGGGTATGTCACTCGCTGGCGCAGCGGCCTTCTGGCAGTGGTGGCCCGGGGTAAGTTTGCACAACATCAGTAGGGGCAAGAACTTACTCTACATATAGACCAAGGGGCTTTCCTTGGAAAAAGTCAGCGAAGTCTTTCATGATGAAGTAGCGGCGATACTCGAGTCGGAAGAACAGGTGGTCACCAATGGGCCGCAAGTTGTCGGGGTGAAGAAGGCGGAGGTTGACAGTGTTATGATTCAATAGATTGGTGGCTTGATCATGATGCAAGTAGCTATTGTGTATTGCAATGACATCTGAGACATGCTCACGCACGGAAAGTACAAATTTATCGAGCTTCCTGGGCTAATGCGTGTCAAAACCACTGATGAACGGCTGCCCGTAAAAGATTAGTAGCGCTATGAGTTGGTTGGGGACTTAACGCCGGCCGGATAGATACAGATACCCCGCACCCCTCCTTAATGTTGTCGTCTGTGCGCTGGCTTGCTGAGCTAGGCGACAAGCTGTGCGACATCTTACATATGTAGGTGCCTTTCTTGACGCTTCGTTGATAAAAGACTCTACGCAACACATGCTGACGGCTTGGAATGAGCTTCAATACGGGGCCAAAGGGTAGACAGCGGGTCACTACAGCATGCCTGGGCTGTCGAGACAAGAGAACGAAGGTGTGTCTCACTCTAGCGTGTGTCTGCCAAAGATTGACAAAATCTAGTGCAATGGCCACCCGGTACAATGTTCTGCCTGTCAATATCGAAACCAGGAGTGTGTTTACTATTTCACAGAGAACAAAAGAAAGTCAGACAGGACCTTTTGTAACCTACGTTGACTCGACTGCTAACCTTTTCACAGGCCGCCCAGCAAGACATACGTCCAAGCACTCGAGGCGCGTGTAAAAGCACTGGAAAAGCAACTTGCGCTTTCGAAGCCGGACGCAGAATTCTCCATCTCAGCTGTACAAAATGAACCCTCAACTTCATCTGAAAGATTCCCCCAAGCGCAACTCGTTGACCCAGTCGACGAGGTGACTGACACGCTTGGAGGGTTCTGTGTTGCCGACGGCGGCGAGATACGATATTTTGGTTCGCGCAGCAACTTCAATCTCATACAAACAACCATTTTAAGCAAGAAATCTTCCAAGGACATGCAGCGTGAAGGGTACAATGCTGCCTCGATCCAGTTGCAGCCTTTCGAAATATCTCAGGATCTCCATGAACACTTGCTACAACTGTATTGGACTTGGCAAAACCCGTGGCAGTACTTTATTTCCCCCACTCTATTGACCTCGAGTCTCTTAGGGGAGCCCATCAGTCTCTTTGGTCCATTTCATTCACCGCTATTACTGGCTGCAGTATACGCGCTTGCTTCGCGATACTCGGACCGTCCAGAAATTCGTACTGACCCTCAGGATCCCAACACTGCTGGGGAAACTTTTCTGATACAAGTGAGGATCATGTTACAGTATGAAAGCGAGGCACCGACAACAAGGACTGTACAAGCTGTTCTTCTCTTGTCGTTGATTGAAACTGCGAGAGATAAGGAGGCTTTGGGGTTCACCTACTGCGGTATGGCCACTCGCATGGCACTCAATCTTGGCCTTCATATTGATTCATCGCCGTGTGTATCTAAAGGACTCCTCACGGCTGAGGAATTGGAGGATCGTCAGGTCACTTGGGGGGGTGTCTATATGCTCGATAAGTTCGTCTAATCACACTGCCCCTAATTCGAAGACTGACTGGGTCAAAGGCTGTTCAATATCGGCCTAGGAAGACCCTCGATGATTCAGGAACGAGACGTCACCGCAAAACCGCCAGCACTAGACTCGAAAGACGAACTCCTACGATGGTATGGCACTAACAGAGCAACTCAACAACCGATTGTGGTGCCTTGTCATTATGTGAGTATAGCACAACACACTAGAGAACTCTTCTCGGCCGCTGCCGAGGCTCTTGATGTCATGTAAGCTATTCAAGACTTTACATTTGCTACCAAAACATAACACTGATAGATACTCCCCGAATTATACGACAAGATCCAACTATTGTGATGAACTTGTTTCTAAGACTCATCTTAGACTGGTGTCTTTTCACTGTTCTTTACCATCGCATCTACGTCTTCCCAGAACTCTAAAAGCGGATGAAAAAACGGTGACACCTCATGTGCTTCAATTCCAGTAAGCCTGTTTCTCTCCATGCTTTTAGTTTTCCTAAGTACTCACTGACGTAATTCTTCCCAGTCTGCAATATCACGTCATTTTTATCCTTCTACATCGGCCTTTCCTCAAAATCGTGCGACGTCCTGGGACAACCGTTGCAGAAGGCAATCAAGATGCTAGCTCACATCTTGCTTTCTGCCGGGACTCGGCTACCTGGATATCAAAGCTGCTTGCATGGCAGACAATAATATATGGAATGGTAAGATCTATTAAACCTTTAAAGCTCAAAAAGCTATCTAGGTCAAGACTCCTGACTATTGCTCCAGCGCTGCACACCAATATCTACGGTTCATTGCGCATTCACAGCTGCAGTAATTTTTTTGACTGATGCCGCGACAGTAACAGGAAAGGTGCAAGAATCTGCGCTGCGAAATTTGAAGGTTTGTGTAGAGGCTCTGGAAGAAATGGAAATGGTTTGGTCATGGAGCACAAGGTCGCTACTTGCACTCTGTAACATAGCGGAGGGATGGAACGTTGAGACAACAGTGTTTGATAATCTGCGATACCGAAAATTATCGCCCGGGCCTGGGTCTGGGCAAAGTGGCGAAGCCTCGGACTTTGAAGCCTTCCTAGCCGACACGGACCCCACTGGTCTCTATCAGGACGGACTGTTCGATTGGAACGCCAACGACTTCATCGCTACGAGCGCCGTGGTCCCCGTGGATTTGAATGATTCGGACTTTAGTGTCAATGGCTTGCCGCCCTTTCAGAATCTTTATTGACATTCGGTTGAAGCACATCACGGGAGAGAATGATTGTGCTCAAATGGTACTATGGACCTAATCAGCCTTGGAATGACATTGCCAAGTATCATAAGAATGAGTGAGATTGATATCAACGCGCGATAACTACGCTTGGTGCTTGAGTCACACACCCGTAGCACCGACTTCTGTTGTGAACAGGAGTGGATCAGAAGTACCCGGCGTGGTCCTCCCACGTCACGAGGTAGCGCTAAAGCGTAGAGAACCTGGCAGTCATGGCGGGTAAGCAGTACCCGGATAGCAATTTAGCCACTAGCTCTCTTTTGGCAGAGGCTAGGCGCTCAGAAACCCCCTAGATCCGGCCGAACTTCGTAGCGACGTTCCGCTTCATGTGTGCTTTTTTTCGGGTTGGCGCCATCTTCCGCATTCATGGCAGTAAGCCGATACTCAACATGGGGTCTAGTGTGAACTCCAATCAATCTAATATCTGAGTCGCAGATATTGGAACAATTGGCATATAGTGCAATATCCTCCCACATAGTGCGTCTTCAGATCCTTTGCGTTGCAAACAGCGCGCTTTTGTTTCGTCACAGACCACGAACGTTACTAATAGTTCCATACAACCACCGTCAAAATACCTATTCAGCACGACCAGGACAAAGTTCCGAAAGACGATGTTCCATGGTATACACGTCGGCAACTCTGGAAGTTGAACTAGATCATCATGTCTCTTGCATTGTTTTGTAAGACACCTGCGTAAACGGTCTCTAAAAGGCCTCTGACCAATACCTGTTTCAGATGGAGTGCATGCCTGCAGACGCCCGAGAGCCATGGCAGTTCTGTAAGGTCAGTGGCCTTCTCGCACGACTTGACGTGGTTAGCGTCGGCGTCGGACGACAGCACCGTCAAGATCTTGGACGCTAGCAGCGATGCATGCGCCTGTAGCGCTCTAGTACAAGTTTGGCTGCTGCTGAGGCGCGGAATGCGGCGGGATTGCGGAAGGCGGAGGTGACACTGTCGAGATGCGGTGCGAGAAGTGCACTGGCAGGCCAGTGGGGGCAGCTGCCTGCGCGTGATTACTGCTGCTCTACTGGATGGTGGTTAGCGTGGTGGTGAGAGTGCTCGGAGCCATTGGCCGACGAAAAGGTGCTGCCGCTGCCTATTAGGTGGCTGCTCGTGTATGCATTTGATCGCGCTGAGTGCACTATGTTGGGGACGGTCGCGACTGTAAGCGCCGTTAACCTGTTGCTCTGGGCTAGGGCGCGTTACTGCTTGCTTGGAGGCGCCCTTCTCAACTAAGGTGAAGCTCTCCTTAGAGCGCTGGGTGGCGAGCATGGAGAGGGAGAGATGGCTGGGCGCGCTCGCGTTGGCATGGCTATACTTCGACACGCTTAGGGTCCAAGATGCTCCACGTGGGAGTTGATAGAATATATGGGGGCCGTAGTAACTCCAGGTGCTGCGTAGGATGTGGAGCGAGGCGTGTATGTCTATGTGCACACTGCGCACCCTGTTCTATGAATGCCGTGTCTCAGTGTTGCAGTCGCATTGGATCAGCTTGACGTACAAAGGGCGTCCGTGCCTGGGCGCCTTTGTTAGAGTTGGAGCCAGGAGGTGAAGAGCATATCTGTATCTCCGGGTGGACCCCTGTTATCCCCGAGAAGAGCAGCTTCTCAAAGGTATCATCACGAGCACAAGACTACCAACGTGCAGCAAGTGCCATATCCAAGGCCACGATAGACTCGGTGTAGATGCTATTTCCTAACTAAAGCTCCCGTTTTTAGGAGCGACTTGACAAAGGCGACAATAGCCTTTACACCGATTGCAGCAACTTTATCCCCGTCTCCTAAGTTGGGATCGAACGAACAGACTGTGAGAGACGTTGGACTAGCTTTCTGTGGAACTAGATCCATACACTTCATTAGGTCGTCCTCCTGTAAGCCTCCCGGACTCTCGTAACCATTAACCTTTCCAATGCTCTTATCCAAGACATCAAGGTCAAGATGGACTAAAGCGGGCGAATAATCCTTCTCACTCAGAGCTTTCGTGAGCTTGCTCGCAAAGTCGACGTGATTACCTGCTTCTCCCCAGATAACCTCCGCTCCAGCCTTGCGTACAGTCTCTTTCTGACTGTCCTCAATATCGCGAAGGCCGCAGTAGATCATCTTGTCGTACTTATGCGCGACGTATCCAGGAATCGTGTTTGCCAAACGATGGAAACTTTCCCCCCCTAGCATTGATAGGCCCATGGCATCTAGGTATCCATTCGTGTTCGTTGATGGCGTGTCCATGTCGTCGTGCGCGTCAAAGTAGATCCAGCCAAGAGCCTTAAGGCCTAGCCCACAAGCAACTCCAGCGCTTGCCATACAGTTTCCAGAGAGAATAAGAGGAAAGGATTGCTTTGCGCACACATCTGTTACCGCCTTAGACGTCCGCCGGAGTAGCTCAAAGCTGCGGCCTATCTCCCCTTCATAATCATCAACCGGTGGCAGCTCAACAAAATGTACCGTCACACCGAGCTTCTCCAGCTCTTCAATTACCCCAAGGGCCCGGATGCGATTAGGGCCGTCACCAACACGGTGATCGCGGAGGCCAACATGGTAGGGTGAAAAGACAATAGTTATAGAGGTAGCACCCATCCTGGTTTGAGTGAAACGTGCGGAAGTTGAGGTGTGATTCGCAGCAGTGTGCAAGACCGAAGCCAAAAGTCGTTGCACACGATTCCGTGAACGCCAAGCATAAGTTAAAAAGTCGGAGAAATTTCTCCAACTCGGTCTCTAGTGATTTAGTCCTCCCTTCCCCAATTTCGCTAGTCTCGGCAGCCCTGCTTTATACAGACGTAGCGTGAGCCGTCGGCTTCAGTGCACGTGTCGTCGCCGAGACCGTTTTTTTGCGTTTGGTGTAGGTCTCCGCTCCCCCAATTTGGCTGCCTCAACTTCCTACTCCGATTTCTTATTGTGAAGCGACATGACGCAGCCCAAGGCGAAATATCTCGTATGCAAGTTTTGTCGGAGATCCTTCAATCGTACGGAACATCTGCAGAGGCATGAACGCATCCGTACGACTGTCCGGCCTACCCCTAACTCCCCACTAACGATGCTGACTATGACTGCGATCAAGATACAAAGGAGAAGCCATTTACTTGCGCCTGTGGCAAAGCTTTTACCCGCCGGTAAGTCTAGGCCGGACCCATGGCCAATCGTATGTCCTTGCAGCTAACACAAATTGATTCGAACTAAGCGACCTCCTTTTGCGACATAAACGCTTGTATCATGACGTCAACCTAGCTGCACAAGACCAGAACACTTCTGTCTCCTTTCAATCTGCGCCGACACCTGGCACTCAGGGAGAGGATGAGGACGAAGACATAGTGACAGGCCCAAGCGTTGACACTGATGTACTATACAATCGACATGAACGCGCGGATCATGGCCACAACAACGTTGCATCGCAGACTTCAAGTACGTCCGGCGTGTCTCAAATTGCGACAATGCCCGAAGACCAAAGCGGGGGTGGTGGTGGTGGTGACGATACATTGACCCCTCCAGTGGACACTAACTGCTCCAACACTGCTGCTGTTGAGACAGCTTCATTTTCCGGGACATCTCACTCCGATCCCGTCCACGGCTGTGTGGCGAGCACGCCTGCCATTGCAAATAGCGCACGGCACCTGGACTCGTTCCAATTGGTAGACCAAGACGCTCTCGTCAATCACAGTCATCTTGGGCACTCTCCTCGCTTCATCGTGGATAGTGGTGTGTTGAATTCATCGCGAGATTACATGGATTATTTGTGGGATGACTTCAACGACAATCTCATGATCGATGCCATAACAGGCCTTTCGACGCTGACCGACCCATTTATTCCCCTATGTGCTTCTTCAACTGGTTTGCTAGGTTTTGAAAGCGGAATTGATATCGTCCCCTCCGAAGATACAGTCATGCATCCAATCCCTGAATCGGCAGACCCTTTGGATTACAGATCTCGCCTGCCTTCCCTGGAACAGGAAGATCCGCACTTGGTAGGCTCAAGAACCGCGCGCGGAGCCGCTCCTGTGAGGGACGTCCCCGGTATGCCTTGGATAATATCTAATGAAGTATACAACCACATTCGGACTTTGTTGGAAAACTATCGCTTCTTATACACTGCAAGCTTTCTACTTCCATCCAAGCACACTGTATGCCGGTACATCGAAGGATACTTTTCTGGATTCCATGCTCATCTGCCTTTCTTACATATTCCCTCCGTCTCGTTTAGGATCATATCGCCAGAATTGATACTCGCAATCTTAGCAGTGGGTGCTCTCTATCGCTTCCAAAGAAGACAATCGGATCAGCTTTACATGGCAGCCTATGCTCTTGTACAACATAAAGTACAACATCGCGTACAAGAGATTTACAGAGACTCAACACCAGCGGCTTCAAAGCAGCCCAGTTCCAATCCCCAAGTCGAACTACTGCAGGCCATGACACTCCTCATTGCACTTAGCACATGGAACCACTCCCGCTTACTGAGCGATTCCTTCGCTCTCGCGGCACAACTTGCACTTCTCATCCAGGAAGGCCATGGATCAGATGTGTCGAATACTCCGTCCCAAGATGAGTGGATCTCTTGGGTCTGTAGTGAAAGCGAGAGACGCACAAAACTCGCCGCTTACAGTTTCCTCAATCTCCATTCGATCGTTTACAACATTGCACCAAAATTGATGACAGCTCAGATGGGGAATGTGTTCTTACCCTCGCCCGAGTCCCATTGGCAGGCTATAGATACGTCTAGTTGGCTTGCTGCACGGCAAAAGGAGCAGCACTATGAGGTTGACTTCCGGACAGCTTTCGCCAATCTCTTTTGTGAGTGGCCAGCGTCAGAATCCTTATGCAAATCTAGCACCTTCGGAAACTACGTTCTGATACACGGCATTGTGCAGCAGATCTTCTTATCTAGACACTCCCTCGTGGATTTCGCCTCCCAGTCTGAAGGAGCATTGTCGCCTGAGACGGTTACCAATATACAGAAAACCCTTCGCAATTGGCAGCGAACCTGGAACACTACCAAAGGTGCTTCCGTCGACCCAGCGTCACCACATGGACCGTTGAGCTTCAATTCGATAGCACTTTTCCGCATCGCTTTGGTCAGGCTGCACCTCGACCTTGGACCCTACCGAGGATTAGAGACACGGAATCCGCCTTGTATTGCGCAGTCTCTCTATCGTAGCCCGGCTCTGCCACTTTCGCGGGTCGCGTGCAGTGTGGTTCTACAACTAGTCCATGCTCTTGGCGTCATTATTCGCATCGGCAACGAGTTTGTTGCGAAGACACAAGCATTTTCGTGGAGCATTGTGCATCCGATCTGTAACTTTGAGTGCGCATGCTTCTTGAGCAAGTGGTTGCTAGCGTCATCAGATGCATTGTCTAGGGGCCAAGAGCTCTCAGCGGCCGAGAAACATCTTTTGCAAGTCATCATCTCCATATTGATAGAAGCAGAGGCTGGCTCCGACTCTGGTAGTCCTGACGCCTTTTCTGTATCGGAAACCTCGGCATTGAGTGTGAGACGCATGGCAATCGTAAGTGTGCGTATCTGGGCGCAAATGTTTGGTGGCGTGAACGTTTTTGATATCGTAAATCCAATCGGTGAAGGCTTACATCTCTACGCGTCGTTGTTAGAGGAGGGAATACTGTCGCCCAGAGAGTAAATAAGACATCTGTACACTGTAACAGCAGTTTCAATTGGTAGCATACTCTACAATTATACACAGATGGTGAAGACAATGCTGAACGACAATGGAGCGCATTTTTCGATGCCGAGCCCGCAAGGCAGTCCATCTTCTCAGCGAGTCAAATTGCCCCGCATGTGGAGGCTGGTTCTGTGCAGAACGTCCTTCCACTAGACTTTCAAGCCGTCACCTCGTGACGAATGAGTGACTTCTCATTCCCACCGACTTTCGTAACACTATCTACCAGGGCAAGCTCATCGTTTGGTTGCCGTGGTACTCGTCCCTCAGGAATGGATCCATCTATTGTGACTTCGTCTCCAAACGCTAGACCAATTCCTTCGAGTGTGGCCCCTTTCGTCTCTGGCCAATATCGCCATACTAACACAGCCCCGACGAGCGGGACGATGGAGAAGACAAGGTAGTATCTCCACCCAATTGCCCCAAAAGCGGTGGGCGCAGCCTGAGTGTATAGAAGTGTACTGCACGATTGTGCAAAAATGCACAGCCCCATACCGGTAGCGCGCATGTGTGTTGGGAAAATCTCGGCCGAGTAAACGTATATAGTCGCATCTAGACACGCAGCGTAAACGCCAACATACAGGAACAAGAAGACGACGCCAAATGCATTACCAATCTTATTGGCGGTTCCGGAGAATCGAGCGACCATGACCATCTCGCAGATAATCATTATGGAACAGCCAATCAGACCGCTGAGTAAAAGACGAACTCGTCCGACACGATCCATTATTGTGGCGGAAAGATAGTTCAGAGCGGCGGCCCACGTGAGGTAAATAGCGTACAGAAGAAGAGGTAGCGAGCCATAGAGTCCTAGTCCGTTGTACAAGCTGACTTGATAGTTGTTAATGACTAGAACGCCAGTGGATTGTGAGAGAAACATGGTTGCCATCCCGCATAGGACGCGCTTCCTGTAAGAAGCTTTCTTGAAGATGATCATCTTGCTTTGACCACCTAGCATGGCTTTGTCGAGTGTTGCTTGTTCGTTGACTTGACGAAATTCTTCCTGGGCTTGGAGTAAACTAGCTTCGGAATTATTCTTGTCGCTGTGCAGGTCACAGAGTATCTGCAAGGCATCTTTCCCTCGCCCTTGCTCAACAAGCCATCGTGGTGACTCTGGAATCGAGCGAGTGGCTAGCAGAAGTAGGAGAGGAGCGAGAGCTTGAGCAGAGAGTTCGAATCGCCATTGGAAAGCTTCATTTGTCGAAAAAAAGCAGGCATATCCTGTCCAAGCAGCGAGAGCCTATATTATGAAAGTCAGCAATGTATTCCGAATTCCAGGAGGTATGAATGCTTTGGGCTGGCGCACGTCTAGACTGTGGCACTCACATGACCGGTAACAACAAGAAAGCCATGACTGCCCACCAAAAGGCCCCTCGTCGCAGCTGGAGATATCTCGACCATGTAAACAGGGACAAGCGCAAGCAACGCCCCAACAGCGACTCCGTTCAAAAACCGACCGACCAAGAACATTGCGATATGTGCTGCGCCACCTTGTATGGCACTCGAGATCACGGCCAACGAACAAAGCATCTGCAACGTGCGGACACGACCGAAACAATCCGCAGCCCATATTTCAAAGAGCGCTCCCAGAGCACAGCCTCCTGCAAAGAGAGCCGAGGTCGCACCCAAGATTGACTCGGCTTGTCCGCCTGACTGCAGATTAAAATATCTTAGAAATGCAGGTACTCCGAGAACAGAGCCGATGACGGCTACGCTGAAGCCATAGGTTAAAGACCCTAGGGGAGCTTGTCAGTGCATTTTTCCTCAGCCTGGGCTATTGGAATTTGTGGGCTAGTGGAATTGTCGCGAACCAGAAAGCCGCGAAATAATATTGGGAACCGTAACATACCTAAGGCGGCCAAATAGATGATCAGGAGATTATGATTCTTGCCCATGATGAAGAATACCTAGTTGTGATAGAGAATTGGGTGTGTTGTCAGATGCTTCGATGGTACGTTCCTGGGCCTTATATTCTGTGTACACCCATGAATACATTCACCCCTTCTGGTCGGTGGCCCGATATCTGCTCTAGTATGACATTACATGATAGATAAGGATATCCGATAACTAACAGGGGATAGGGAGGCGGGGTGAACGTCGCTCGGAAGGCTTTGTCGACTGAGCCGATTTGATATTTGGGGTCATGTTGAGGTAAGGGGAAGGAGTTGGGGTAAGTAACTGGTCGTGGAAATATAGCCGAGATTATAAGCGAGGGATGCCCTCCACGTCAGGCCGAACTAAAAATTAATGAGACCGTATGCTAATACCTTTCGGCCGATCCAGAAAGTAAGAAGTTCACCACCCATCGAGATTTACAATACTTTGCGTTGTACACCACATATCGTCAGTGTTGACAAAATTATCTTGCGATGCCGACCTGGGCACAAAATTTCAACCCAGAAGGTCAAACGACTTTCTCTCCGACATATTCTCACGTCTCTCGCGTCCCGATTTCGTCGACCACCACCTTTGTTTCCATCGCTGGCCAGCTTGGCGTCGATGCGACAACCGGCTCTATACCACCAACACTCTCAGAACAATGTCAATTAGCTTTCACAAACGTGGACAGATGTCTTCAGGCTGCTGGGGCATGTAAAGGTGATATTGTGCAGGTCAGGCAGTATGTGGTAAATCTACTTCGAGATGGTCAGGGTCAAGATCCTGACAGGGCGAAATTGTATGTGGAGTGGATGGGAGAGTTGAGGCCACCGAGTACTGTCCTAGGTGTACAGGCACTGGTACACCGAGACTTGCTCTACGAGATCGAAATAGTTTGCTTGGTACGAGAACAAAGACCCGTAACAACATGATATATCAATGAGAACCCATGCTCTCACATCACTGTGTCATAGTGTACCACCGCCTGAGATATTATGAGGCGCGTGAGCAGTGTTATTCAGATAATGTGATCAACGATTGTATTAAGATCTGCTGTCGATGTATCATGCTTGCGTACAGGCCCTTGTCTGTACGATGTGATCCATAGCTTTCAGTAGATACCCAACGAAACGATGGGGGTTCTCCGTCGCAGGGAAATGTCCAAGTGATGTCATCGCAGAGAACTTCGCTCCGGGAATCTTGGCTGCCGTGATCCTACTCATCTCTGGGGTATTACTCCAATCGTACTCTCCAGTCAACATGTATACTGGGCATCTTTGTGTGTCAATGTGTTCAACCCGACCACGGCCATCCCATCCGCCAAAATAGAAGTCCAAATCGCCATGGAATATAGAGTACGCTTGTCCCGAATAGGTGTGCCAGACAAGGTCCCGATTTCTTCTGGGCGCTGTGGGAGCCATCATCTGCAAAGAATGAGCATCATGTTTGTTGGGAAACAGTGTTTCAAGCTTACACCATAAATCCATTCAGGGTTGAACAGAGCTTGGTTGACGAACGGTGACCTATCCCAATACTGCCTGTTCATATCGAGATGCTCCGAGCTGGTGTGGTCTATCAGTCTGGAACAAAGCGCTTCAATTATGTGTTCGACTTACGCCTGGCATGGAATGACTCCGCCTGCGCCTACCTCGTCTGCACGTGTTGCAACAGCCAAACAGACATGTCCAGCCATGCTTGCACCACAAACGATGGGCTTCGAGAGTCCGAGGGCGGTTATAATCTCCTTGATACATCCCACATACGCATCTTCAGTGTTCCAATGTTTACCCGGTATCTGGTCTGTTGCAGGAAAGCTCCGACCGTGGCCTGGCAGGTCGATCGATGTCATGTGGTATTTCGCCAACATTCTACTGTCATTCATAACGCCGTGGTATTGACGTCCATCACTTCCAGCCGTGTGCAAGAACAGAATTGGTACATTGCCAGCATCTCCGCTTTGCTCGTAGAAAAGTTTCGTCCGGCCCCATAAAGTATTGATGAAGATGTAGCGGCCCACAAGGACATCCACTTCCTGTTCATCTTGTACATCCTCTTTGATTAGGCCATGAAGAACCTCGTGGCTCAGTTCCAGTACTCTTCGCCAGATAGCCCCTATCTGAACAAACAGATCCTGGTTTCCAACCACCTCCACGCCTTCTTGATGGATATTCTGTCCGAACATACCCCAATAGGATTGAAATGGCGATTTTGGTATCGGTTCGTAAAACATGCGCCATTGTTCTGGCCTAGCCGAAAGAATGAATTCGGCTTCAGCTGCGTTTCCACTCCTGACGAGTGCCTTGGCCTTTGAGACGGTGCATAAAACGGCATCGGATGAACTAGTGGACGTCCAACCGAAGGTAATGTCTCTTTTCAACTCATTCGTATCGCTAAAGGCTAAGAATTGCTTATCAACTTTAAGGCTCTCATTGAGCGTCGAAAAGTTTGATTGGAGCTGCGAAAGGATGCTCTGCCATTCCGAGAGGGCAGCCATGGTGGTAAAGAATTTTGGTAAACCTGGGACTCGTGTAAAATCTCAACTTCGGTAGTCGACAAAGAATCGAGCATGGACATAATTTTCTGGCGCATTTGCATTGATCTACACTCTCTGATCTTCATTACCCCGCTCCAGCGGCTGAGGTACCATAGGCATTCCCCAATTGACAGCTTGTCAAGCTTGCCTATCCCCAATATTACCCCAATTGCTTCCGCTAGGATAGAATGGAGTATTGAGACACATATGATAATGAAAGAAGAAGCGAAGAAGCGGTAGTATGCTATAATCAGATTGACCTCACACATCTTGCTATTATTGAAAGAGAACTCCGATGGCGCCACCATCAGCGGTCATTCATCATTTTGAGGTAAATATGTTCTTACTTAATAATAGCGACAAGAATTCATGCCTGACTTTACTCCGAAGCTGAAGGATCCATCCTTGCTATATCCCGCCACGCTAGCTGTGACAGCCGATGAAACCAAGCAAAACGTTTGGATTGAGGGTAAGCAGTCGATGGAGTTAATCAAGGCAGACAGCTAACTTCTACAGATCCTGCCACGGGCAAAGTGTTTGGTTCATGCAAAGACAGCAATGCCGGCGATGTCGACGCTGTCGTCCTCGCCTCTCATCATGCGTTCCAGACATTTCGTCTCGAGAGTTCCCGTTCGAGAGCGAAAAAGTTACTTGCGTGGGACCGTCTGATCCAAGAAAATCTAGATGATTTAACACATATACTCACTCTTGAGACTGGAAAGCCTTTGAAGGAGGCCTATGGAGAGATTGAATATGCAACTGGCTTCACTTGGTGGTTTGCAGGCGAGGCGGAAAGGATTACGGGCAGCTTGAGTTTGCCAGCTGCACCTGATCGGAGAGTTCTTGTGGTAAAACAGCCAATCGGTGTTTGTGCAGCTCTCGTACCTTGGAATTTTCCTGTGGCGTAAGTAGTTCTACTCTTCAGGGACATCCCATTTTTGGATCAACCACAGCTAACTTACGAAGGATGATCTTGCGCAAAGTCGGAGCGGCACTCGCAGCGGGCTGTACAATCATCGCCAAACCGTCTCCCGAGACTCCATTGACGTGCTTAATGCTTGCCAATCTTGCTGAAAGGGCAGGTTTTGCGCCAAATGTATTTAGTGTCATAACTACATCTACGAGCAATACGCCGTCCGTGTCTGAAGCACTTTGCAAGCATTCTCTTGTCAGCAAAGTTTCGTTTACGGGATCTACTCGAATAGGAAGCCTTATTGCAAGACACTGTTCGGAAGGTCTAAAGAAGGTTACCTTGGAATTGGGCGGCAACTGTCCATTCATAGTGTTCGACGACTGCGATCAGGACCAGGCACTGGAACAACTCTTATCGCTCAAGTGGCGGCATGCAGGCCAGGCCTGCGTCACTGCGAATAGGGTGTATATCCAAGACACTATACACGCAGAGTTTCTGGCCAAGATTGTTGAGCGCACGAAAGACCTCAAGCTTGGTCACGGCTTGGAATCGAGCACGACCATGGGTCCAGTCACGACTGCTCGTGGTTTGGACAAGGCTCGAGCGTTTGTGGATGACGCCATACGTAAAGGCGCTCAACTTCTGACAGGAGGGGGTCAGCTTTCTTCAGTGGGGTATTTCTTCGAGCCCACCATACTTTCGAACGTCGACCCTTCCATGCTGATCTCTCAAGAAGAAGTGTTTGCACCAGTCATGGGCGTCTCGTCGTTCTCCAGTGAGCAAGAGGTATTAACTCTTGCCAATGACACAAGCATGGGTCTTGCGAGTTACTGCTTCACGAAGGATATAAACCGAATATGGCGAATGATGGAGCGACTGGAGTCAGGCATGATCGGTATCAACACAGGAAATTCTTCTGCTGCAGAGTCGCCATTCGGAGGGTTGAAGCAATCAGGGTACGGTAAAGAGTCTGGGAAGGACGTGGCAGTGGAGGAATATCTTAACGCGAAAACCGTCACGTTAACCATCAACGAGAACATATAGAGCACGATTCAACGCAAGAAATTCTTCTAATATAATGCCACCAGCAAGTTGTGAATGATCAACTCTCCACTTTCAAAGAATGCCGCATTTCCGACGTCCAGTACAAGAAGATGGGTAGACTGAATGAGAGATTTGAAAAAGATTGATTCATGGAAACGAAATGTTGAAGCATCAACTAACATCTGCCAGAACCCTTGGACTATCCAACTAATTGTCGTACATGCTCTCCTTTAGCGACCATGCCATCAATGACAGCAGTCGCAACTTTCATCGCCTCAAGGCCAGCGGGTACTCCACAGTATACTGCGGATTGTAGAATAGATTCCCTGATTTCTGTCTCGGTCTAACCATTGTTTATAGCTCCTCTTATGTGTACACCGACCTCTGGCCAGCTTTTGAGCGCAATCAGCATGCCAAGGTCTGTTCTTATTCAGCCAAAATGCAACATGATCGTTGTCTGAGTGATTGTAGTCGTATAATTGCACTAGAGGAGACGCACTCAACAGACTCCTCTGCTTTCTATCCAGACTAGGACAATTCCAGATATTGCCCCAGCACCATTCTGTAACAAGCTCCTGCATCGGAAACGCGAACTCGCTTGAACCCCTTGCCAACGCTTCATTGACATAGTGCTCACCAACCACTCCCTTGCGAGTTCCGAGGCCAGTGTCAAATTTTGACCTTGGTTTGATTGGTGGACTGGTTTGTGACATATTGGATGCGAGAGTGGCCTAGACTGATATCGATTCGATTTGAAACAGAGCTTGTATGCTCTGCAGTTCAGAACAATGATAACGATAGGTAGTAGCAGTGCTGCGGTATGTGTGACCCCTTGAGGTCGAATCTATCACATATCCAGAATGGAACAGAGTGCTAATATTTCATTCCCCAACTTTTTCCAACGTTCGCCACATCCAATCTTCGCTTTGGGCAGTCTTGGAAAATCTTCTTTGGAGCGGGTTGGAGCCTGGGCAACTCGAATTGTTGGGGATATCGGTACCCTTCTCCAACCGATACAGCACCGCAACGCACGGGCGAGCCCCCAAATCCCCAAAACACAATTGTATCTATGCAATCTTACCACCATTACCGTACAAAGAAGAAAACATAATATTGCACTTGGGCTTTTCTTTCAAACGCACCCGGATTTATCTTCGCCCCTGCATATATTCTTGAATCTGGTTTCGATAGGAATCATGACATCTGCAACGGAGGTTAGCTATGGCTTCATCGGCCTAGGTCAGATGGGCTATGGGATGGCTCAAAATCTTCGTAGGAAGACGCACCCAGCTTCCCGCTTTATCATATGCGAACTGGATGCACATAGACGCAATCAATTCATGGAGGAGACTGAAGGAGTTGTCGAAGTAGCAGATACCCCCGCGGCAGTGGCTGAACAATCGGTGCGTAGCTTACCTTATGCAATACGTTCCCAAAGAAGGTAGAGCTGTGGGAGCTGATCTAATCTCTCCATTACAAGCATTGAGCTAACTTCATAATGCTCAGGATGTCATTATCACTATGCTCCCAAAGGGTGCGCATGTGCTTGACGTTTTCACGAATTTGTCAACAGGTTTGCTCTCCATCCCAAAGAAAACGACGGCAACGTGTTTTATCGACTGCTCCACCATCGACGTCGAAACCAGCCTCCAGGTGAAGGAAAAGGTTTTCGAGCGCCAGGCTGGTACTTTTATAGACGCGCCCGTCAGCGGCGGTCCGAATGGAGCACGAGCAGGTGCCTTGACTATCATGGTCGGCGGGCCCGAGAATGCATATGCTACGGCATTAAGTGTTTTACAAACCTTCGGACGCAGCGTTTTCCATTGTGGTCCATCCGGTGCTGGTCTGGCGACAAAATTCATTAACAACTATCTGAGTGCAATCACCACAATCGGAACATGCGAGGCTATGAACATTGGTCTCAAATATGGACTGGATCCCAAGGTCCTTGCGGGCGTCATCAACTCGAGCAGTGGGAGGAATTACAACAGTCTGGAGCAGAACCCTGTTCAAGGCGTAACACCTGGTGCCGCCAGTGAAAACAACTTCGAGGGTGGGTTCAGTGTAGAGCTCTCAAAAGGTGTCTTGGAGATGAGTGTTTCCTTAGCACATCAGGTCAAAGCACAGACATTGATGGACGAAATTATACTGAGAGTTTACACGAAGGCAGTGAACGACAGTAGAACTGCCGGGAAAGACTCTCGGAGTGTCTTCAAGCTGTTCATAGATGGCGATGCATGAAGACAGCCCTACACTTGTGCATCCTAGTGTTCTCCTGCACATAGCGGCAGCTTCGCCTACATATCCCATCTGATCACTGCCTTGATGATCTAGAAAAATTATCAGCGTCAAAATTAGAATTGGAGAATAATCAAAGGGCTTACATTGCCCTGTTCCATATCTCGGATAGCACGAGCTAACTCAGTCATTGGATAAACTGTGACCAGCCTATCGATCGGGAAATTTCCAGCTTTGTGGAGCCCCACCAACTTAGGCAGAAACTAAAGGAAGAGTTCGTTAGTCTAGAAATAATTATTTAGGAAAACATACACGTACCTCTTGGGGCACTGAGTCTCCTTCAACCAATCCTACGAATGTTTTTCCTTCGACCATGAACTTCAGTGCATCGATCTTGATTTTGGCTCCTGCAGGGGCGTCGCCGATGGAGCCAGCTGTTCCGAAGGGATGAATGCAATCAATAAGAAGTTCGATGACAGAGGGCACGCCGCTGCAATCAATCGCAAATGAAGCCCCTCGACCCGTGATTCTTATCACTTCAGCCACAGGATTGGAGAGAGAGGAATTGATGGTGTGTGTGGCTCCCAATTCTTTCGCAAGCTCGAGCTTGGAGTTTACGATGTCCACAGCAATGATCTTTTCAAGACCGAGGAACTTGGCTGCCATCAATGCTGTGAAGCCGACACCACCAAGTCCAAAGATGACCAATGATTGTGCTTGCGTAGGCTTCAGGAGATTGAGGATAGCACCAGCCCCAGTCTGGAAGCCGCAGCCGCCCTATGAGCGACAATTAGGTTCTGTTAAGATGCTGGTATTCCGTTAACATTAGACTTACTGCGGCATACAATCCCATGTTTTCAATGTCTTGGCCAGGATATTTCGTCACGCATTGTTCCGCAACCACCGAGAGTTTGGCAAAAGAGGAGTGACCAAAGAAGCCAGCACTGACAGGCTGCCCATTAGAAAATCTTGCATGAACCGATTTGTCATGATATCGCTTTGCTCCGAAGTTGCACTCGATGAAATTCCAACATCGAGCAGGCTTGCCATTTTCGCAGCTGTCGCAATGCCCGCAGGTATAAAACGACAGAAGAACCGGATCGCCGATCTGAATGGATTTATCGCGGACGTTCTTGCCAATGCTGCGGACGAGACCTGCTCCCTCGTGGCCAAAGATTGCAGGATAATCACAGACATCTGCGAATAGTCCTTGCTGCAGCAAGATGTCCTGCGACAGCCTTCGCGTCAGCCAAGTACTTTCTTATTGTCCAAGCACGGAAACATTGCAAGTGAGGGCACCGAACCGTATGACAGATGCCAGAAAACATCATTTCGATAAGAAATTCATCGTCGCGAGGCTCATTGAAGATGACAGGAGCAAGTCGAAATTCGGCTCCTGGTTGTTCCACAATGAATGCTACTGTATTGATATCCTTACTGGATGCATGATTCGACATGATGTCAAGAAAGACGGAGAAATAGGAAAGTGGAAAGAGACTGCGTTATTGCAATCGGACGGAGGAGAGCAACTTGTATTTCCCAACCAATATGGGGCGCGATTCACCCCCGAATCGTGTAGAAATAGGCTTAGTGTTAAGGTTTCCGTCCGTATCTGGCCATTTTGTACCCCCCAAATCGCGGATTTTCGACCCCCCCAAATCGTCTTAAATAGGCTTAGCGTTAGGGCTACACTTGACCCCAAGTGTAACGATGTTACAACTTCGCCAAGTATCGGACCAATCCTAGAGCCGGATCGGAGGTAGTGTTCGCCGCTGTAATGGGCTGCGCCCTTGAGTGAAACACGTGATTGTATCACGTGTCTTCGTCACACCGCTTAGTCACGAAACCTTATTCGTACGAAGGAACCTAAGATAAGAGTATAAAGCAAGAGACGTCGTACGATAGCTTTACTTTCTTTGTCTTTCTTCTTCTATAATATAGGCTAATGCACACTCGTTTGAAGGCCTCTTCGCCCTTAACATAAGAAGAAAGATTACTACCTCTATCTCTTCTCCGTACAAGAACGAAGAATTAAGAACGTATCTTTATAAGTATGATAAGCGCGCTTAAGAGTAAATTACGACATAATAATAGACGCGGAGCCGTCTTTATAAAACAATAGGCTAGATAGTTAAAATCATTAAGTATAACCTGTTAGAATAAGGAGGGTGCTACTTGTTCTATAGCTAGCTCAGAGGTAGAGTCGTCTATTTGTCTAGCGATAGACTCAGAGGTGGCGAATCGATAGGTTCTAGGGTGAAGAGAAATAATGCTAGGGGAGAGAGATTGAAGAATTGGATTGATCCGATCTGCTCTTATGATCTGTGTAACGACGTTACAACTTCGCCAAGTATCGGACCAATCCCAGAGCCGGATCGGAGGTAGCATTCGCCGCCCTCTTCATCAACCACTCGTTATAAGGTCGGATCCAATTCGGATCCGACTAAGATAAGTATATAAGGAGACACTCCCTGTAGCTAGCTCTGTTGACTTTTAATATCCTTTCGTACAAGGCCTATAGGTGTCTATTCGAATCAAGGCTCGTTTGATGTCCCACGCACTCCCATATGCCTCTAAGTGACACTACTGCCGATACTGATCCAAGTAGTCTTGCATGCGCCGTTATAACCCTTACCAAACACTATAATTAGGGTACCCGTTTACTAGCCTAACTATATATATTAGCCGTACTAGATTCTAGAAGAATCTATCTAGTAGTAGATTACGTAGCTATAGATGTAATGGATAGATATATTATTTAGGGATTAATTAACTAAAGAATCCGAGTATAGTTAGTGCCAAGCACCCAGATTATGCTAGAGATCAGCTAATTAGCTTACATCTCTAACACGCTGTTACGATCAGCCCCAGAATACTAAGAATCCTTCGCCGCTACATTCGTTAAGCAGATAAAATACGAGAAGGCGAAATGACCGCAAGAAAACGACCTACACGCTTTAGAAATAGCCATTACGTAACTGCTCAATAATAAGCGCTTAATAGTGAATAGGCGCTTAGCACTATGGTGCTCACCAACGAGTAATACTTAGCAAAGTGCTCAACAACGAGCGCTTACTAGCGAGCACTGCTCACTAATAAGCACAACACTTACTTAGTATATAGTATTAGGCATTAAGCTCTTATAGTTTGATGTGTTTAACTTAAGTTACGAGTATAAGTATAATATAATATTATACTTACCTAAGTTACTATCCAGTGCACACTGTCTCTCTATCTGCGAAAACTAACCAACAAGAAGCTTGACACCAAAAGTCTAATATTACTTCCACTCGAGCTATACTCTTAACACACGCTAGGTGTTTGTTAGTTTTGTGTAGGGGTAGCTGGAGTAGACTGTACGTCCATTTCTCTATTAATTTATGTAATGGGTGGGCCGGACCCGGCCTAGCGCGCAGCTACTCACGTCGCCCATGTGACCAAAAGGTTCGCACAAGATAACAAGCTTGTCTTGTTATCTTGATAGCTGGATATATATACTCGATATTAGCGCGCGCACGTATCGCAGCGCCGCTCAAAGGGCGTAGCCCATTAAAATTTAAGCCTCTCGCCCTAGGCTCTCCTGTCTGTTTTCTTAGGTATTAACTATGATAGTATCACTATCTGGCGGCATTTTATTACTAAGCTTTTCTCTTAGTAAGCAGCTAAGTGGTCTATGTATTTGTTTTCGTGAGGGAGACGTGTTCAGATCAGCTACTTTACCAGCTTCTAGCTCTATAGCGCGTGGGCTGTACGACTTAGCACTAGTTGCAATGGATTTCTTAGGATAGATTTGCATATATTTAGATAAAATTACACCTATTCTATAAACTCGAAGTTGGTGTGTTTCTTAGCTGAAGCGTTAAGTAGGCTACTAAAGCTAAGGTTTGGTAATATTGTACTAATAATAAGAAATAAAGCCGCTGTGCTTATACTTAGAGTACCTCGCCAGTAATTAGGGTAAGGCTACATTAGCTAGTTCTACAAAACCGTATAAATACTAAGAAGAGATAGTAATATAGTAGTAGTGCTATAGCTACCTACAAGCGAAGAGAATAAGCTTATAAGCCTCGCTAAGCGAGAGGCGAAGTGTAATGGAGGTGGGCACCAATGCCCACTAAGTCGATACTACGCGACAACCATTCGGCCGCAGCCAACCTACCAGCAAAAGGTAAGCACGAGAATAATCTGAACTGATTATTCTAGTGTAGTATAATATATATATAGGTATGTAACATCGTTACACGAAGATAGTAACTAGGCTAAACACTAGGCCACAGACATAGCTCTCTAGAATGCGATTAACTACGCACAATATAGCACGTAAGCAAGGCATAGCTAAGAAAGTACTAGTAGACGTGGGAGTATATTCTAAATAAATCGACATAGGACTGCTAGGAAAGCACACGCGATAACTCTACGACGGGCTTTCGCGGAAAGAGAGCAGCGTACTTACTTAGCTTAGAATAGGCATAGTATAGCTGAACACGTATCGATACTAAATTAAAGCATTAACAGTAGACTAATGCGAATGCGGCCAGGCAGTAGAGACGGTAGAGTATTTTCTATTCTGTTACCGAAAGTAGACGACACAATGTAACGGAGTTACATGCCTATATATATTATAATACACTAGAATAATCAGTTCAGATTATTCTCGTGCTTACCTTTTGCTGGTGGGTTGGCTGCGGCCGAGTGGTTGTCACGTAGCATTGACTTAGTGGGCATTGGTGCTCACCTCCGCTACACACAACGGATATAAATGCTGCAGTACACGCAGATAAGTAGAGGAAATATGTCATTCTACTTAGGCGGCAAAGCAGCGATAGATAACGCGAAATGGGCGTTAGACATGGACGCGGTGCGAGCGACGATACAATTCGTAATAGCAACATGAAGATTAGATGCAAACTATGTAATATCTAACTAACTACTAGGTAAGCCATAGATACTACATAATATAAACTTATTAGCAGTCTCGTGCAATTAACAGCAGACAGCGCTTCAGCCGCTAAAGATAGGACGTTGAACACTTGGAGAATCTCTTAGAAGAGCCGACTCTAAGATAGTCTGCCACTAGCAATACTAACCCACGAGCACCTAATGAGGAATAATAGTAGATAGAGAAGCAGCGTGCTATGATAGCAAGTAAGGGCACTAGTTTAGATAATAAGCAACATGAAGAAACGAGCTAAAGAAGATAGATGGGCTAAGGAGACTGAGACGTAGCATCAGAAGTGTAAAGTTAGACTAGCGGTAGTAGCCCTTTAGGCTCGGCCGCCGGGCGTAAATAAATTGTGTGTGTGTGTGTGTGTGTGTGTGTGTGTACTATCATGAGTGTTCATGTCCATGCAAGAACCAATTAAGATCATCTCGTTCAAGAATAATGAAGAAGATGTAATAAGAATAGTTCGAGTCAAAAGGGTAACCATTATGTGATGTTCAGCGCATTGTAAGCGCAAAGTGTGCCCTTTATGCTTATATTGTCAGAGTCGACATTAGCATAAGCATAATGAGTCATAACCCTGGCGTTATCTGGACAGTAGCGCTGTATTGTACACATCTTGCAGGAGGCTTTCATTTCTCCAAACCTTTGTATCATAAGGTGGCTGACATGGTCGCTGTTGGTCTCACTCATTGCAACGACGGAAATCGCACTCCCTACAGGTTAACGAACCAGGAGGGGGTTTACTATTCCAACGCTGTGCTTCAATGCTTTGCAAGGCTTATAGACCCGTATTATCTAGAATCCAAGCTTAGGATAACCGACCTCCAAAACCACGGAGCTTTGTGTACATGGCTGGATGTTACAAGTGCGCCTCAAGTGGACAAACACGTACAAGAGATTGAATTGAGACACATCAACCCGGCTGCAGACTTCACCCACATAGTGAAGCTAATGCAACAGGAAACGGCAGACGCTGTGCATCCATATTACTTCCAAGCCATCTTAGCTGCTAAAGGTGGGGAGAACGGCAAGGAATTTGCATCTGGTGAGGGTGCATACCCCTACTGTTAGTTCCAGTTTACCCTCAATTCTCTTTGCGAAGGCGCAAGCTTCAATAGCCACTCTGGAATAGTGTCACATCCAGTTATAGATAAACTATGCAAGATCCGTAGTGCATTCGCCAACACATGTAATTCATGCCTTCACGGGGAGCTTCAAGAGGATGTTCCGGATACCACGAACTAGAGACTGCATCTAGATCCTAAAGGAACGCCTCTTTCTTCTCCCGATCAGTTGCCAGTAACCATTCAAAAGCTTTTAAATGCTCACAGAAAGCACACGGAAGCAAAAAGAGAGCGATGTGTCAATTGCAAAAAAGCTACAGGAGAGTATTACATCTAGAATGGGCTTAGAAAGGCGCCTAAGATACTACCTATTGAAATCAAGACGTACGAGCGAGAACTATCAGTGAATAAGAAGATGAGATATAAGTTCCTCTTCTCAAATATTGTTCTTAACAAAAAGATCCATATACCGAACGTCGACCGCGGGCACACGAGGTACGAACTGCAGGCAGTCGTTAAGCTTAAAGGCAAAGGTCATGAACACGCTGTAGCGTTTATTCGCTCGGGCAAACACAGGTGGTGGAAGTGTAGCGACGAAGATATCACATGTTCCACCTGGGAGGCAGCTCAACGCACGCACGGCGAGGGGCAGGTGTCCCTCGTATTCTATCGTAAAGTTCAAAGTAGGATCTAACAAAAACACAGCGAAGAAGAGCAGGAATAACATAGCAGCAAAGCTAGATGTCCTGACCAAGATAACAAAATGGAAAGACCTACCTTTCATCGAACGCGACGGGGATTCTCCCGTTTTCATTCCCTGCCATCAAAAATGTCGTCTTTCTATTACATTTTAATACAAAACTATGCATTGCTATCGAAACTTATGGTTGGGACTCTAACATTACCAAATTTCTACTATTGCGTGTTGCGTGTCGCGTTACGCTGCTACAAACATAGAGATCTAGTAGGGCGCACGACCGCGTTCAACGCAAGCCCGCCCAACAACAACTACATTAACCGCCGCCCGCTGCGCGCCCAACCCGCCAGCACGCTGGGGTAAAGCAATATCGGCAGTTATCTACTTTCTCCATCCACTTTATTATTATAGTGTGCAGATTGGGAAAGCATAAGCATTACAAAAAGACTCGCTCTCGCCTCGAAACACAGTGCGCTCGCCCGTTAGCGCAGGTACTACAGTCATATGGCGTAGCATACCGATAATAACGCTAACATGGTCCCTCGGTATACCAGCAGAGCATATGCAGTGCGTCTACACGTCCACGACGAGAGGCGATTCTTCGACTTAGTTTCCTCCTAGTGCCTCCGCGTCAGAGTAGAGTGCTAGCATTTATGTTTTCCGGCAAGCTTTTGGTACAAGTCTTCATTAGAGTCCAATGCGTCTATAGCTATAAGGTCGTCTTCCACTGTCATCGTAGTGTTGAGTTGCAAGGGGGTCAAATATGTAATGTAGAAGTGGTGGGGTGTGCATAACGCGACCATGCGCATTACGCGTAGTTACGGACAAAATAAGCATAATATAGAGACATTCGATCCCACTTCGAAACGCAGTGCTGCAGTCATGCTGCAGGGCTGACATGGACCCACCTACCGCGTGCGGGAAATGAGTTGCTATTGTGCACCACGCTCCCCAGAACTGTCAAGACGGCGACGCGCCCCAAATCTCGACGCGATAATGCGGGCTAATACGCTTGCCCCCGACAGGCAGACTTACTAAGAAGACTTGCAGATAGATGTCCCGCCTTTTTGCAGTTTCTGTGACGCGGTCGGTCCAGACGCAGTAGATAGCGCTGTCAGAGAGCACGTTGCGTGTACTTGTCCGTACACTCTCATACACTTGCAGTTTCCGCTTTTTGCATGCCGTCTAGCTTTCATCCCACTCAATCTATATTCTCGCCTGGTGTGCGCTTGCCTAAGACGTCTTAGGCTTTGTAAGAGTCTAACGTTAACTAGCTAATTGATTCGGAGACACTGTTGTCTCCTAACAAGGCGCTGCTGACAAGAGCTAGCGCGATTCGGTTAAGATCATCATTAGGCGAGAGAAGCTTGCGTAGAATGAGAGATTGAATGCTTGCAAGAACTGGAAACTGCAAGTGCGTCAAAGTGTACGTGACCGTGCCGAAGCAGTCTTTGTCCCAAGTATTACCGCAACGGCCTTTCGCATTCGTCTTCGAATGTTGTCCCGTTTCCCCAACTATTGTAGTTATTGCCTCCGCTGCGCTAGCTGCAACCTGTAAACAGAGAGATTCGCGTCTTCACTCAAAGCGTGGAGGGCAAGCTTTAGTTAAGCGTCGTTGGAATTAGATTGCGTGTTCTATACTGAGACATTACCAAGATAGAGAAAGTGGGTACAATTTTAGTCTGGTCTTAGCAGAGTCGTGCCATTCGCCCGAACATCCCACGCGCCCGTGAAGTACGGTACAGCTTTATTTATCTGCTTGATATTGCCCCTGTTAACAGTGTCACAAGCTAGCGATCGACGTAGTTGTTACGCACGTTTTGTAGCTGTAGATGGAACCACCTAGGCTAGACCCTAGGAGAGCCGAGCCAACCACCGTGATTTCCAAGCGAGTCCACCTTTCCATTCAGCCGCACGCTAGTTAGTCCGTGTTCAGCTGGAGGAGACTAAGGAAAACTTATTTAAAGCCTATCAGGTCATATCATAAAGATGCTCGATCGAACATTGTTCTGTATCCATCGCCGCCAGGGATGTTCTGGAAGGAGATATTGCAACGTTTCCGGGTTTGGGGGTTAGATGTCGACATTTAGGCCGGGGCGAATTAGCTACCCTCCTGGCAGTGGTGGCAATATGAAGCACTTGACGAAATGGGAACCGAACTTGCTGTTACCATTGTTATTAGGTAACGATGATAGCCTGATGTAGATTGCCAGCTGAATGGCCTTAGCTCGGTACACACACAATTTATTTACGCCCGGCGGCCGAGCCGAAAGGGCTACTAACACTAGTCTAACCTTACACTTCTTATGCTACGTCTCGGTCTCCTTAGCTCATCTATCTTCTTTGGCTCGCTTCTTTATATTGCTTAGCTCGGTATAGTCACTAGCGAATGTGGCTTCACCCCTTGCCTACCGTTTTACACCGATCTGCCCACAAGTTGTGCTTAGCCCTACCTTCCGTACGTAGTCAAGCGCTACCTGTCAGCCTTATTGAATTAATCTCATTGGTCAGCAATCCATAATTTATGGGCCATATCCTTGCTGGCAGGTCGGCCTCAGTTGATGTTGCTGACTGCAAAGGTGAAGCCGCATTCGCTAGCGACTGTACACATAGTAAATCTCTCAACCCTTTTCTAAGTGTGAGCTGCAGGCTTGAGTACTCATGTATTATTTATCGAGGGCAAAGATGATGCCGCACTCCATACATCAGTTAATGCTAGTCGCAGCTCATTTGAAGCACAATGAAGTCAAAATATCAACGCTTTTCTTATCAGCTTGTGCGCAGTAATTTACTTTGCAACATGAACAGCATCTACGATACATTTGATCTGCCCTCCTTGGCGGCTTCAGCTGCTTTTGCGGCTGCCTTCCTAGCCTAAGTCTTCTCAGCTAGGACAAGGCATTCTTAATCTTCGTGGGTTGTTTCCCAATCATGAGCGTAAGACTCAGCATCATCACTCAGCAGCATCATTTTCAGACAACTCTTGCGGGTCCTCAATTCCCACTACGGCGCGATTGGGAGACATGAGGTTACCTCCCCTAACCCTAGACTCAAGATTGGTGATTATTCGCGACAATTTGATAGTGTTCACCGGCAGAGTCGTGTCCCCCTTGGCCGAAATTCTGTGGTAATCGACATTCACTTTATAGAATCTAGCGGCCCAGATAGCAGAACCAGGCATTGATATATCAGCCTTTATCGTCTTTCCATCCTTGAAAGGGCCCAGCGTTCCGATTCCGGCTCCCGTAGGCGCGCCTATAAAAGTACTGCTGGCGCCTGCTTCTACGCCAAATTCCTTGCTGTCGAGTATCTTTGCGCGCACGTCTGTAAACTCGTAGTAGCCGGTCACAAATTATATCCTCGGTTTCTGGTTGATTGCTTTCCGCCAGACCCACTCGCTGTTAGCAGGAGTGAGCCATTCTTTGAAATGTCTACGAATGTCGCTGTTCAGCAACACTTCGTCGACGAAAAACGTTTCCGGCCTACAAACTTCCTTAGCAGCTTTCCTTCGGAAACGCTATTCTGATTAGCAACCTACTAGTTCAGGGTCACCCGTCGGCCGCTCTTTGCCGTAACAATTTTGCTTTTTCGCCTTGCGAATTCCACGCCAATCGTTGTCAGCTCCAAAGCATTGATTCCGAGTCCGTACTTGGTGTTTGAACTCGCACACCAACTTCGAGTTTTTCAGAATAGGTGTAATTTTAGCGAATTATATACAAATCCATCCCAAGAAATCGATTACAACTAGTGCCAACTCGTGCAGCCCACGCGCTATAGAGCTAGAAGCTGGTAAAGTAGCTAATCTGAACACGTCTCACTCACGAAAACAAAAACACACAGACCATCTAGTTGCTTACTAAGAAAAGAGCTTAGTAATAAAATGCCGCCAGACAGTGATACTATTGTAGTAAATACTCAAGAAAACAGACAGGAGAGCCTAGGGCCAGAGGCCCAAACTGATAGAGAAATGGAGATAGAGTCTACTCCAGCTACACCTACTCAAAACCAACAAACACCTAGCGTGTTTGAAATACCAATACTACCACC